CGCACATTAGGACTTTAGGAGTTTGTTTGGGTAGATCTAACTTTATAAAAGAAAAATTTTATTGAAAAAGTTATTAAAAAATATTATATAAAAAATTAAAAAACATTATACAAAAGGTTATTAAATTTTATAATAAAATTTTATTTAAATTTTATTAAATTATTAATTTTGTTGTGCTTGATAAGAAATTAATATAGGTAAAATTAATAGAAAAAGTTGTTAAGTGAATATAATATAAGAAAAGTTATATGGAAGCATTTTTCTTTTAAAATAAGTGAGAAAAAAATTTTAAAAATTTAGAATTGTATCAGAAAAAATAAAACTTAAAATACTATTTTTATTTTTTTGTTATAATATTAATGTGTAAAAATATGTAAATAATTTTCTAAGAAGAAGTTTAGAAAAGTTTAGGGAGTACTTGTTGGAGAAAAAATTTCTCTTTATAAGATTATTTATGTATTTTTATATATTAATATTATCACAAAAAGAAAGTAAAAGTGATATTTTAATTATTTATTTTTTCTTATACAATTTTTAACCCATAAAATTTTCTTGTTACATATTTTAAAAGAAAAATATTTCCTTATAACTTTTCATGTATTGATCCACTTAATAATTTTCTCTATTAAATTTTTTTATATTAATTTTTTAATAAATATAAAAAAATTAATAACCTAATAAAATTATAATAAAAATTTATTACAAAATTTAATAATATTTTATACAAAACTTTTTAATTTTTTATATAATATTTTTTTAATCATTATTTCAATAATACTTTTTTTTAATAAAATGAGAATTTAACCAACCATACTGTAAAGGTTAAGTGGCAAATGCTATGACTTTAGTGGGAATACCACTTTGGATCTTGAGTTTAAAGTCTGGACCTTCCTTCCAACTTCCAAGCACCTAATATTAGGTCCCTATTGTTAGGTTCTGTAATATATTATGTAATAACTCTCCCCTTTCTGTAAATTCACCTATTAAGAAGAACCACGTTGTGTGGCTAAAAGTAAACGATTTAGGGTATATTTAGTGAAATTTGTAAAAATTTTACTTTGTTTTTATAATATTTATAGGTAATAAGTTTAAATTTTTATTAGAAAAAAATTTAAAAATTATTTTTATAAATAAATAAAATATAAATAATGTGTTAATTTTATTAAAATTTAAATAAAAAATTTCTGTAAAAGCATTAATTCGATATTTTTAAAATTTAATTTTTTTTACAATACAATAAATACTAACATTTGCTTAATTATTTTTTACTGTAAAAAAAAAAAAAAATCTAGATTCACTAGTAAAGAAACACGTTGTATCGACAAAAGTCAGTGTATTAAAATTTTCTAACTTTTACCTAGACTTTTTTTTAGTATGTCTTTAAAAAATAAAAATTAATGTTTATTTAATTAGTTATTTAATTAAAATAGTTTATAATAATGAAATTAATATTAAAATTTATCATTTTTGATATCATTAAATTTAAAAAAAAAATTAATTACACTTTAGAAAAATCCTTAAATATTTTGTTCAGGCTCCATCTGGTAAAACGACACAGTATCTACAAATCCCCTCCCT